TAAAGAGTTTTTACAAAAGTTGTACGTTACAAAACGATTTTATTACCCTCATATAAATGGAACATAAAAATGATTGCTTTACAGCACTGGAAAAATTAATGCCATTCTGGCGTTCGGAGAATTTTTTATGCTTGTGAATTAATTTTAACCGAGAATGAATAAATTTTATTTTGTAAGACAGTAAAAATAACTGTAATTAAGATAATAAGTACCAACTGTTATATAAAAATAAAAAGAATGTGTAAAAGGTAAATTCATGAATGTATTGCATGTTAATTATTTATTATTTTTTTTAGGAATAAAAGTATTGTCTTAAAATTGAGACTCTTTCATGAACATGCGATAAAGAAGCTACATCCACCAAATTTAAGCTCGATAATTTGAAATTCAAATCATTCGAGTTAATAGTCTGGAAACTCAATTACGTATATATTACACAGGTACATCTGATAGACTTCGGATGAAAGAAGAAAAATCCAAACAAAAATTAAAACAATTATTAAAGTCGCTCTAAAATCCTGTCTTTTTTGTTATTTGTTGCTTCTTGTTTTTAAAAATTATTCAGAACACACATTTGCGGCAAAAAAAAGTTTTTCTCTTCATTTGAAAAATGTTTTCTCATCCAACACTTTGAATTGACGTTTGTAAGTAACTTTTTTTTCTTTATATCGAAAATATGCGCATTGGAACGTTAATACAAAGATTTAATTTTAATGCCTTGTAACAACGAAATCGATTGTATGCAAAAGACTTCATGCAAAGCTCTATTTTTACACTCACGCTTTTACGTTGGTATTCATTACAGGAAATAAAAAATATAATTAAATTGGCCGATCACAAAGCTTCGATGACGTTACGTAAAGTGTTGCGTTTAAGGAAATTTTCTGTTGATGCATCACAATACATCGAAAAATGTTAGCCTTTCCTCGCAATCCACGATAAAACATTTGATGTATTATTGTTGGGTCAGCAGAATTATATACATATTTTTTCCTGTATATTCATATAAAAGCAACGTTGGGCTATCTGCTGTATTTTTCGGATAAGCAAAATTTTTTATGTCCAAAAAAGTTATATCATGGATGAAAATGACAGTACAATATTAAAGGAAAGTATGGTCTAACACTCGCATCGAATTGAAAATACGAAAAAGTATCGGTGACTGGCAAAAATGTCGAAAAATTCATACGAAAAGTAGCACACGCGCAGTTATAGATTTAATCCACGTATATGCACGTCCTCGATTGACCAAAGAGACTCACGTAAGTAAATATGCATGTATACTTGCCACGAGAGAAGAAGAAAGCGAGATACGAAATTTTAAATTAAAAAAAAAAAAAAACACTCACAACGCCCATTGGCTGGCACCGAGGGTGTGCTCAACCGTGCCTCCACCGTGCACATATTATGTTATCTCTCTCTCTGCATGTTCTTCTCGACGCACGCGGAGGCCCCTTTCTCGAGAGGGAGAGAGAGTTATTTTCGAAGATGCTCCTCTTCTTCTTTTTTTCGCACGGCACGCACACACACACGTACCGCGTGCGAGCAAACGTTTTCTGGCGCAGCTTATTTGCACGGAGCGGACATTGTTTCCATTACGTAAGGAGCCAACCTTTCTCAATTGTGGGATACATTTTTGCGGTTTATCCGCAGAAGAACTGTAACGAGCTCTGATTTTTTTTTTTTTTTTTTCTTTTTTTGCACGTATAACGTGAGATGTACAATTATATTTTATTTTTTTTCCTGTATTGCGCGTGGCGATAAAGCGGTGGGATTTCCCTCGAGTACAATGTAAAAAATATACAATTCCGCAGTCGAATCCGATGATTCAAGCATACCTACTTTTACCAGCGTACCGATTAACCCGCAGGTTTTTTCCGTTTTTTCCAAACGTCCCAGTAAGCATCCGCCAAATTGAAGATGAAAGTGCATCAAAAATCGATCAAATGAGCTTCAAGATCAACAACAAAAAAGATTAAGTTGCAACTGGAAAAGTCCCAGTGTTTTTCTCTGCAGCTAAACGTTTTGCATGTACGTAATATAATATTACAAACGATAAACAGGTGCGTTCCAGATAAGATTCGCGGGCAGACGAAAGTTTATCTGTGTCGTCTGGCTGTGCTGACATGATGAGGAAAAAAAGAAAAGAAGAAAAGATAATGTTGTATACTCCTCTTTTGCATCATCGCGTCCAAGTCTGCACGTAAAATTGTACACAAATCGTCGAATGATAATTAATGTGATTTCAAAAAATTTGAAGTATTTTAGTATGTACATTTCTAATAAAGCCATTGTAGACACGTCGAACTCGACTATTTTTGTTTTCCTTACCAGACTCGTATAATTTAAATATTGACGACAGGGGCTAGTGAAAAGAAAGAAAAAATAAATAAACTCAGAGAAGCAGCACAGGAATCTCACCTCAAATGGTACATAAAATTTACTTAACGGGCGTGAGGATCCCACAACAAGTTATGATATACCTACATAGATTAGAGCGCAGCATCTTTCAGTCAACCTCATTACAAAAACGTATACGTCCTGCAGTTAATCTCCGACGAATGGAATGTAGGTGTGTGTATAAAATGTATACATGCATACACACACCGACGAAATGTACGTGTAGCGCGTAGTTGTATGTTACATGCATGTGTACAGGACGTTGGGTACCGTAATGTCCCAAATGGTCACTCTCTTCACGCCTTACAAATAAAGCACGGGCCTGCATGCAGAGCGTGCAAGTATTACAAATATGTGATACCTGTACGATTTTGCCGTGAAAAAGAAGATTACAATGTATACATATACACACATGTATAAGGTATACCCATCACGGGGTTCACCATTGAAGTTCCGGATTATTACAATATAATAAGCGCATAAAAATAATGTTATATGTGTATAAGGTATACATATATATCTACGTGAGTGTACAAAGAGGCACTTTCATACATGACTTTCATCTCTTTCTCCTCTCTTTTCCCCATATATACATATACCAGTGTACGTATGGATATAAATAAAATACAGGATGCGTAAGTATATCAAAGCGTACTTTCTTCGGCGCGCAAAGTCGTTCAACTCTTTTCTCCTCGTTTTTTTATTTAACGTCACATACACTTGCGACTCGGCAGATTTTTTATTTCTTTTATGGATACTGGGTAAACATATGTAAATAAATAAAAACATGGATACGTGTGAAAAATGAAAAAAAAATCCTTCGACTCTTCCAGATATGGTTTATTGTAGCATTTACAAGTTTGCCATACCAATGAAGTTTTTGTCCCGATTGTTGATGCAAAATGACCTTCTCGGAGCTCAATATTTTTTGTATTCCCGGAGATAGGAGTGAAACAGTGTTGTAAAGCAATAAAAACAAAAAACGTGTAATATCACGAAAAGTATACTTATTTTCTATATGTAGACTTTAAGAGCAACAAAAGTATCTTTTTTTTTTCGGCTCCGTCAGTCTGATGGTTTTTAATTCAAAGTAAGGCCGCGCCTGACACACATATTCAATTTATCATCATCGTCATCGCGTTCAACGCTTCGTGCGTTTTCGCAAAATATTTCGTTTGCTTTCGCGAATCTCAACCGCATGTTACCAACTTGTACGCGTCAGCGGCCGAGGAGTGCGTATATGCTAATTTCTCGCAAAGCAAACTAATGTTTTATTCAAAAGATCGAAGAGTTTTATAGCTGTAAATTACTTTTCGCACAAAATCTTTCGTTTTTTTTTCATTTTATTGATTTTTGTTTCTCCTTCTTCCCCAAAACGCTACTTTTTTCCCCAACATACAGGGCCTTGTCAATGCTAATTTCACGCAAGAGCCAACCAAATAAAATTACCCGTCCGCGAAAAAGCTTCCAGTAGTTTATTTTATCGCCATCGGCCAAATCGGCTTACGGAGGACGATTCGTTGCCGTTGTTTTTTTGCCGATACAGCACGTCTTTGAAATAAAAAAAAATAAAAGCTCCTATAGCTCAAGAAATAACTCTCCGCTGTAGCGCCAGCTCGTTCGTATTGACCTATAAATGTTTCATATTTGTTCAAAAGTATATACACAGATGTGCACGTAGAGATCGGTTCGAATGATTGAAGTAAGTATACTTATTGTGACGCCGCGATTTAAGTAAATCAAAAAAGAGAAACAGAGAGAGAAAAACAACACGAGCACGCGCGCGCTCTCTTTTGCGATGTGTCTTCCCTCTCGCTCACTCGCGCGCACTTGTACGCGACACACATTTATTTCTCCGTGTGTATTTAGATTATCAATCACGAGCGTCCATCTATACATATATATATACTCCAATCGGTTGTACTTTGTACTTACTCGGCAATACTTGATATTAAAAATAATATTTACAAATACAAATGTATGTGCAGATGTTGCGATATTATGGGATATGGACGTGTAACACATACGTACGTTTCGGGAAAAACTCGTTTTCGACTTTTGCAACGGTATGTTCTTTCGTACATGAGTATACGCACACACGTTCACACAAAAGTTGTAAAACTACCGAAACCATCACGTACTCTTTCAAAAACCACGACAATACATATTATAAAGGTATGCACTGACAACAACGGCATTGTAATCATACTTTACTAATGGATAAAATTGTATAAGCCGACAGAAATATTTTTGGAGCCCGTTATCGAAATACCATCGATGTTGTCGTTATACACAAAAATAACAACAAGTATAGGTGCGCATTCAAACCTTACGAGCAAATATACATGGCCCTTTTAACGCTTCCCCTGTACATTCGCGCAAAGGAAATTTTAATCCGACAAAGTGACGTTTTAACGGCGTACATGCTAAACTTTGCCGTACAGGAACAAGTTAGCAATCAGCCGCAATTATGAAAAAATGCCCTCGTACGTGAATAAGTACGAAGGCTGTGGATGCAAATCGGAGTGAAAATAAGGAGGGAGCAAAAGGAATCAACGTTTGAGTAAACACACGTGTGTGGGTGTATATATTGTTCTCACCTTTCCAGCAAAAGCCGAAGCTCCCTTGATTTTTACGACACCGCGCACCTTCCGATGATATAAATAGAGTCGACCGAGGGAAGCCCGTGTTATCTTGAGTGACGTTTGATGTTTTGTCTGGCTAATTAAAGACACGGCCCAATGCGGAAGCGCAATGTAATACAGGTGTACATAAACAACAACAGCCGCAAAGAATTGTTTCTCTATATTTTTTATTTTTATTTTTATTTTTTTTTTTCTTCCTCGCTCGCGTCCTCAACCCGAGCACCAACGAGCAGAGGATGGTGAAGTGGAAGACGACGACATTCACCGCTGTGCGCGCTCTACCGTGGCATATAGGTATACCTCTCGCTCCTTTTTCGCACACTTCGCGAGCAGAGAGAAACCCCGTATACCCAAGAGTTGGGCGCCAAATGTTTACGCCCCCGCCTCTCTCTCTCTCTCTCTTTTTGTTTTTTCGTGTACAGGTGTATGTGCACTTTGAATTTTCCCAATGACTCGGAGGAGCACGAGAGGGGCGAAAGAAAGCGGTATGACAAATGCCGTCGGGCACGGGAGAGCCCGCGCGCAAAAACTTAATCCGCACTCGCAAACTGGCTATTACAGCACTCACGACCCAGGCAATACTGGCCTCGAGAACTGCGCAAGCGAGCCGCGATCGAGCTACACGCGTTACACGCGAGAAAGAGAGAGAGAGAGAGAGAGGAAAAGGAAAGGAGGTGGTGGCTACGATGTGTGGTGTGTGTCCCCCCCTTCCCCGACAATTTGACAGGGACGGATCGGAAAAAGCTGCTCTCTGGCGCGTCCCATAAGTGGTGTGCTTTGCTCCGAAGTTATAACGTTTCGGACTGTCGTGTGCGGGAAAAGCGCCAACTGCTGCAGGAATTTCTTTAAGGAAAATTCTCACCTTTTTTTTACGGGGGTTTTTTTCTTCTTTTTTTTTTTTTTTTTCAACCCTTGTTCGATTTTGCTATATGATTGCTATTGGATTTTGGATTCGGTGGGTGCCGGGTGAGTCATTTCGAATGCTTTTAAAAGCGCGTAAGGCCTGCTTATCTCTTGGCTCGACACTGTCAAGCAGAAGAGGAGGAGAAACGAACGGGATACACGCTTCATCCGAGGGAACGGAGCCAAGAAGACGAATGTACGGGTGTGTGCGTGAGGTCGACATCTCGGAGGGGAGAGTGAAGGGAAAACGGGTGTATGGGAGTGCTGGGTGTATCTATATCTGTGCGAGAGATAAGTCGTTCGCGAAAAATAAAGGGGGGAAGAAAAATGGGCAGCAGACGCGACGACGGTGACGCGGAATTTTCGTTAACGCGCTGCTCGTGAACTACTTTGCGAAGCAAGTAGTATAATATACTTATACGTTTGTGCGTAACGGGCAAAGATAAAAAAAAAAAAATAATAAATACAAAAAGAAGCGCTTGTTGGCCTCCTTTAAGTTACCATATGTATGAGCGAGCCCTAAAGTATGTAAATGTAATCAATTTGAATTTCCTCGTTACGCGTTGCGCGAGGATGCGTTACGGGGAGTTTTTCAGCTTTGAGTCGCGAAATAGAAGTGTACGGTAATGTGCTTTGCCGATTGCCGATTTTTCCGATACCGATCGCTTCGAAACTTCGAACCGAGAACGGTTGGAACAATTTCGTTTGCACATCTTTCACTTGTAACTGCAATTGCGTCGTTCAATGGAGACTATTTAGATTTAAAGGCATCGGTTAAAAGTAGATCGCTCCAACCGATCATACTCAAACGAGTTTAAGCGATGGAAACAAAAAAAAAAGAATTTAACAAACAAGGATAAGCGTGTGTATGCATTACACGTTTGTTTACGATGATTAACCGACGCAATGTCTAATACTCAAAAGATGTAAATGGCCGTTACGTAATAAACGGCCAAGGCTATCGTACTTAACCGCGGCTCCAATGTACATGTGTGTTTATAGTGTGCCAACTATAGACAAAGTTTACGAGTTTTTCCGAAAGAACGTAGTTTTATAAACTTTTGATCGAGAATAATAATTATTTGAAACGAATACGAGTATCGATGTACTTATCCAAGTAGTCATTTTACACGGAAGTGCGATATGGATAGTATACTTTTTGTATAAAACAAAACAAAAAACTGAAAAATTTTCATTTTCACACTTTTAAAAACATATGCACATTGATAACGATAGATCATCATCTCTATGTAATAGATATGTTTATCTAGAATAAAATAATAAACTTATGTACTTGCGTTTTCAACAATACTTTCATTACTAAATGGAAATGTTGTGTTTACACATGTATGAATATGATAATTATTCATATGAGTGAAATTTCAATATGTTGAGATATATTATTCGTAATTGTTTGTTAAAAGTAGTTTTAAACCATCGACAATTGCAGCCGTCGATTATTCGACCGATCGACGACGATGTATTTTAAATTTTAGCGCGCGTTTTGTAATCACCGACGAATTTTGCGAAATTTTTAAGTATAAAGCGAAGAATTTTTGCGCATATGTTGATTTGTTTCAATCATCATCGACTAAAATCACGTTTTATTGAATAAAATATACAGTTTTCGTCACCAAATTAATTCTACGTTTATCGACACGTCACGGAAAATTACAATCGATTCGTATCACAAAGAAAAAGGGTAAAAATAAGAAGAAATGTATCAAGAGTAACATTTTGCTCCAAAAAGAAAAAAATATACCAAAAACATTATGCCCACTCGAAAACTGTTTACTTTCACGCCATTACCTAACGGGTAACGATTGTTAAAAGACCGCAGCTAATGACATATTTATAATAATACTACGATACGAGTGTGTCATCGACACAGGGATAGGGATGTATAAAGTGACGTCAGGTAGCGGAGTCAGTGGTGTCACGTGATATTACTTCACGAAACGATATACTTATATATTGTTTGTTGGCGAAAAAAGTAGATCGAGAAATAAACTTACATAGGTACTTACTTACTTACTGATACTTGCACAGAGAAAAGACGATCAACAATGCGTATGCGGGGGAGAAGGAAATTAAAAAATTTGCAGTATTAAAATGTTTGATTGCTTGAGCTTTCACAAAGTGCAGTTTGCAGTAGATTATCTAAGTTTCTACTGTAGATAGCCATCCTAGCCATCCTTCTGTCACAGGTGAGTGATTTTAAGTTTTGAAATTTTATTGATTTTTAGTGATAGCAGTAGTAGAAAAAGAAGAAGGGAAATGGCGTGATGAATCACTCATGAAAGAGTACCTTTTATCTCTGCTCTAAGGTACATATGTACGTGCAAACTCGTAATGGCAGTTAAACAACTGGCTCACACATATTTGAGATAAGCTCTTTTTTGCACAAGAATTGTTCTTGAGTGGGTTTATTCTTTTTTTTTGTTTTTTAATACCAAGTGTCCAAACTATTTTCAAATGTTCAACTACATATTATTATTATTATTATTTTGTTTTACTTTAGTTCAGTACATAATTTCTCTCATTTCAAGTTTTATAAATATCTAGTCATTAAATTTATCGTTCGATCTCGGTGATGAAGATGATTTAAAAGGGCTTTAACATGCAATTATTTAAAACAAAGATTTGAAACACAATACAAACAAATCTGAGTAATAAAGTTTATGGGCTTGATTTCCCATGCAATCCAGGTCAAACATATAGTTGTATTTCATGCCAGTGATATTATCTGATTGCGTTTGGCTATGCTATTTTTGTTTTCTCATCCATAAGTTTATTTAAGAGACACCGTATTGCCGGCATAGATAGCTCATGGCTCCTATCTACGTGTAGTCGAGAAAGAAGTTGCAAAAGTTTTCTCACACTTTTTCCAGGATAAAGCTCCAAAATGAAGTTCGCGGAGCACCTCTCTGCCCACATAACTCCAGAATGGAGGAAACAGTACATCAGCTACGAGGTACGTGACGAAGTGACCAAAGATTAAAGAACAAATAATAGACTCACGAAAAATATCATTGACCTTTCAGGAGATGAAGGCAATGTTGTACACAGCAGTGGAGGAAGCACCCTCGGCCGAAAGCGTGGAAGCCGAAGTGCTGACCAGGCACTTTGCCTCCTTCGATGAAGTATTTTTCACATTTTGCGACAGGGAACTTAAAAAAATCAACACTTTCTACTCCGGTAAGCTTACGTATATTATGTCGTTTTGTTTAATCTCACGTAAATGATGTATGTTGTTTTGGCGATGTATACCCATAGGTTTGATCAATGATTAATTTTACCGCAGAAAAATTAGCCGAGGCGACGCGCAAGTACGCCGCCCTGCAAAGCGAGCTCAAAATAGCCCAGGATCTGCAACAAGGTAGTGGCAAGAATAAGGGAAAAGCTGCTGTCAAAGGCCAACTGCCCACCAGAAAGATCCGAGAACTCAAGCTCGCCTTTTCGGAGTTTTACTTGTCGCTCATTCTCTTGCAGAACTACCAAAATCTCAACTACACTGGGTTCAGGAAGATTTTGAAAAAACACGACAAGGTAAAACTCTACAAACTTTGCTGCTATAATAACCAAATCGATTAATTATCATCAACTCTAATAAAGTGAACCTCGTTATTTCTCTCAAACGATTGACACCACCAAATAAAACTGTAGAATAGGTGACGGTTTGTTTCAAAATAGAGCAAAACGTCAAATAGTTGACAATTGATGGATTTGGAATATTGTTATGATGCAATTGCAGATGGTAAAAGAAAAACTTTTCAACTGTTAACGATCTCATTGTTTTCAATCAGCTACTGTCGGTGGACTGTGGATTAAAATGGCGAACGGAGTTTGTGGAGAACGCTCACTTTTACACGTCCAAGGACATAGACAAACTGATCCAGGACACGGAGGCGACCGTGACGAGTGGCCTCGAGGGTGGCGATCGCCAGAGAGCCATGAAAAGGCTCAGGGTACCACCGCTCGGTGAGCACCAGAGTCCCTGGACGACTTTCAAAGTTGGCCTGTTCTCCGGCAGCTTCATCGTCCTCTTCATAACTGTAGTATTATCAGGTACTTGGTGTATATGCAACAAAAACATACAAATAATAAAGCAAAACGTTATACGATGTACCATTTGACTTCAGCCATATTCCACGACGAGGGCGAGAACCTGAAGGTAGCCTTCCGATTGTACCGAGGCCCTTTGCTCATAGTCCAGTTCCTCTTTTTGATCGGCGTGAACGTGTACGGCTGGCGATCCTCGGGCGTCAATCACGTCCTGATATTCGAGCTCGATCCTCGCAATCACCTGTCAGAGCAGCATTTAATGGAACTCGCGGCCGTCCTCGGGGTCGTGTGGACATTGAGCCTCCTCAGCTTCCTCTACAGCGCCAGCCTGAGTATACCGCCTTACGTGAACCCGCTAGCGCTCGTCGTCATAATGCTCATGTTCTTGCTCAATCCTTTCAAGGTCTTCAGGCACGAGGCGCGCTTCTGGCTCTTGAGGATCATCGTGAGTCGATGTGTGCCCACAGACACACGAGTTGCAATGATTGTTTTAACTAAGCTAATTTGTTCTTACCATTTTTTTCCGGTCAAGTGGCGAGTGCTGATAGCGCCATTTGCCTACGTGAACTTTGCCGATTTCTGGCTGGCCGATCAGTTCAACAGTTTGGCCGCGGCTTTCCTCGATTTTCATTTTCTCGGCTGCTTCTACCTCACCAACGGGAACTGGCTCGAGGCGGGTAACGCGGATCAGTGCATCCGTGGCTCGCTCATTGTCAGGCCCATCGTGAATTGTCTGCCTGCGTGGTTTCGTTTCGCCCAATGCATCAGACGCTATCGGGACTCCAAGGAGGCCTTCCCGCATCTCGTTAACGCGGGCAAGTATGCCACGACTTTCCTGGTCGTCATCACTTTTACCCTGCAGATGCACAACAAAGGTACTTTTATTTATTTCATACATGTAAATACACGATGAACATAATAAGTGATGAGACGTATTTTTTTTTTTTTTTTTAGACAAGTACAGCACTTGGGAGAGTCCGTACCTCTGGCTGTGGCTCATTAGCTGTTTCATCAATTCCATATATTCGTACACTTGGGACATAAAAATGGATTGGGGCCTTCTGGACGGCAGTGCCGGGGAAAATAAATTTTTGAGAGAAGAAGTCGTTTACTCATCGGCCGTGAGTTTTCCTCCATTTTTTCATCACGAGTTTTCTTTGATGATATATAATCACAGAGTGTAATATCACAACAAATATTATATTGAGATGTTTGTGATCAAAGCAAGATATTCCTTTTAGGGTTTTTACTACTTCGCCATTATCGAAGATTTTATCCTGAGATTCGTGTGGATACTGAGCTTTTTGCTAATCGAGTATCAGATAATCGGAACTGACTTGATGACATCGATAGTTGCGCCCCTGGAAGTGTTCAGGTGACGTTGATCAACACACGTTTTTCCAAGTACATGTATTGTACATGTAATCTTAATCGCAAGCGTTTTTGCGTTACAGGAGGTTCGTGTGGAACTTTTTCCGACTGGAAAACGAACACCTGAACAACTGCGGTAAATTCCGAGCCGTCCGTGACATTTCGATCGCGCCACTCGAGAGTTCCGATCAGATACAAATCTTGCGGATGATGGACGAGGAGAATGGGGTACTTAATCGCGGAAAGCGCAAAGCTGGCAATAAAAAGCAGAGTAGCTCGAAGGAGGACAAGCGCAGCTTGCTCAAGGACGAGACCATCGACATGGATGTGTCGAATGCCAGCTGAGATTAAACTGCTGTAAAAAGTCTTCTTCCTTGAACTATAAGCGATTCAGGTGAAACCCTCACTTGATTTTTCCTCTTTTTCTTGTGCAATCGTCATCTTAACTTTTCTTTTTAGCTTTTTGCTAATTTTACACGTTACTTTATAATTATTTTTCAAGCAGCTGTTCTATACGTATTGTTAGGTAGTTTTAGTTGTTATTGCAAACTGATGAGGCCTCAATTACTTGTTTTTAAACTTTCATTCTGTGTACATATATAAATCTTTTATATATTTAATTATTAAATTATAAGTATATATACTTTATTTTTCTTAAAGTCTTCCATGATGAACACACAGGATACATCCTTATCATCATATTAACAATCTTTGGTTGGACAAACACAATTTTTCGCTGATACAAGTTACTTATTTAGTTTAAAAAAAAGATAAAATTGAACAATTATTACTTTGTCTAGGAGAATATTACATTAGGAGCTAATAAACGTCTTAAATATATCTTACTGTATAAGCATAGACAACAGCATTTATATTATATATTTTTAATAAAAAAATTCACTCAATTACCTGCAGCATACTTGTACTCTTAAAAATTTTAATATGTATTTTATTTATGATTTTAGAAACAATAATATAACTTGTCTGATCTTTTTATGAAACAACGGCCAAAAAAAAGAATTTTTCCGCACTCGGGTGGTTTTGGGAGGCTGGTACTTCCTCGGGCGAAAAAGCAGTTTTCCAGAACTCGTTCGAAAAGTCTCCTTTACGAACCTCGTTACGACCCTCGCCTTCGGCTCGGGCCGCAAACCTCTCGGTTCGCAAACAGAGACTTTTCAAACTCGTAGGAAAACTACTATTTATAACTTTTTTGCCATTATGCATAGGAATATCTCATAATTTAATCGAGCCATTGTCTTTGAATAGTTATCTACTTGATAATATATACAAGTGCTAAAAAACTGAAATTTTTAGCTTATGGTTGTTTTAATTGTTAGATTTGTGAAGTATATTTTTTCTAGAATTCACAATATGCATAAATCCATTTGTAAATGTCAAAACATGCGTTATAAAGTGTACTTACTGTGTATAAGCATTAAAATAGTTATTTGATCATCATGGAATTCGTCACTTGGCTTGTTAAAATGTAAAACACATACTTAAAAAAGTTATTTTGATTCTTTTTTGTAATATGTTTTTATGCATTTTACTTACAAATGTGTTGATAAAATATTTAGCACGTGTGACAGATTCAGATATACGTGTAAGTATATATACTGTAAAAAAATTTTTTTATAAACTTCTGTAATGTAAGAAATTGTTGTTACTATTATGAAAAGAAAAATCACACATTGGTAAATATAATTTATTTTTGAAAATAGTCAAAAGCGTCTTATTAACGTTAACACTTTTAATATAGATAATCTAATAATTGTTTAATCCACAAAATTATATCAAGATTCCCACAGTTACTCAAATCTACCACTATACTTGCCACTGTACTGCGACCGCTGATTAGTTGGACAGAGATACCTAAATGGTATTACCTATAAATTGAAAGCTTTCTTCACTCTTCAATGAAAATTAAAATGAAAAAATTAAGTTCAAGAATCAGCGTCATTTAAAATCTCAATAAGAATTTTTCCGCCCTCGGGTGGTTTTGGGAGGCTGGTACTTCCTTGGGCGAAAAAGCAGTTTTCCGGAACTCGTTCGAAAAGTCTCCTTTACGAACCTCGTTACGTCCCTCGCCTTCGGCTCGGGCCGCAAACCTCTCGGTTCGCAAATAGAGACTTTTCAAACTCGTAGGAAAACTACTATTTTAGAGCGTTTTTCGCACATAGGTACGCAAAAAATATCTCTCAATACCTATAGCTCATTCATTTTAATTTTCATTTTTGATTTTCTCTTATTACTCACATTTACTTTTTAAGCTTTTTCTTACAGTTTTACACACTGATAAGCATTATTTATTTCAATGCGTTATATACGAGAGATATAAGTACACTAAGTTGAGACAACTAATGTTTCGGAAATGTTAATTATTTGCAACACTTGTCCCTTTATCAGACCCGATTCAGACCCTAATCAAAACAGAATATAGGTATAGCGTAACGCAAAAAAAAGAGGTAAAAAAAAATGTTGGTTCCCGAAAGAGTAACAAAAAAAAGAGCGTAAATAAAAGTTGAAAACTCCATGGCACATGGCACACTGCAATACGTCATATATATAATCGCGATGTCTACTTACAAGAATGAGCTAGGTTTGCCACACCTGTACTTACTCTATTACTATAAGTAAAGTGAACTGTCTATGAGTTCAGCTGGGGCCGTACCATATAACTTTTTTTTTGCTTCACGGGCCTATGTTGTAACATAGCCAACATAGGCCGATGTACAGAAAAATAGTTATATGGTACGAACCCTGATGTAAGAAATTTCAAAATTTACGTCATGTCATGTGACTCAATTTTCACCGATTGTTTCGGAGTTAGTTTACAAATAAAAAATATTAATGTTAGTTATTAGTTATTTAGATCCGCGCTGTCTAGCGGTATGTATTTTCTCGTCTCGCAAAAAGTAATCTAGAGCCATGTAAATGTAATTAGTTATAAACCAGCCGCAATTCATTCTAAGGATATAAAATGAAAAGTTGATGTTGTTTAAACTATTTGCGGCAAGTTAACAATTTACCTTTTAACTAAAAATCTACCTCCAAAAGTATTAATATGAAGGAGGTCGATTTTTGGGTAAAAGATAGATTGTAAACTTCCCGCAAATAGTCCACACATTGTCAACTTTCTGTTGTTTATTAACGCAATCAGTTGCGGCTGGTTTATAACTGATTATATAAATGGCTCTACTGTCAGTGGTAACAATTATTTTGATCAGCGCCATCTAGCGTTGCGGATTTCTGAACTAAAAAGTGGCCCTAAACTTTTGAAACCGAGCTTTAGCGCCTAGAGCCATTTACTCAATTATAAACCAGCCGCAACTCATTGTGTAGCTATAAAATAAAAAAATAACGATACGTGTGTTTTTGGTGGCAAGGTAACAATTTATCTTGTACTCGAAAATTTATCTTTTAAAGCATAAATACATAGAAGGTCGATTTTTTAATAGAAAATAGATTGTTAGCTTGCCGCCAAAAACACACGTATCGTTATTTTTTCATTTTATAGCCCTCTTTAAGAGTTGCGGCTGGTTTATAATTGATTAAATGGCTCTAAACCCTTATGTTCGGTTTCAGAATTTTAGAGGCCACTTTTGGCGAAAAAATGAAAACCGCTAGATGGCGCTGATCCAAATAATTATTACTATATATATACTTACATAGCAGAGCCATGTAATTGATTATAAACCAGCCGCAATTCATCATGTACATAGAATATAAAAATTTGATGTTGTCCAAGGTATTTGCGGAAAGTGTAAAATTTATATTTTACTCGAAAATCGACCTCCTATAAGTATATTTATATACTTTTGGATTTGTATATATTCTCTAAGGCTGAACTCACTGATGATACAGCATACAGCTCATTCTTGTAAATTACTAGATTAGTAGATGGTAAGGTGAACTAATCTAAATTTACTAGAGAACGCAACATGATCATGTCGAGATCTGTACTTTACACATAGATCCGAAGATAGTTAGAAATCTAAACCATCCGCCACCCTCACCAGACTCAAGAAACTTTATAATTTGTTGAGACACTAAAAATTTTTGATACATTTAATTCTGGTAAAGAGTTATATGGTAATTATTAAAATAAGCATCAGCTGTTAAGAGTATATATATATTGATTTTTTGGCACATGCTTGCGTGTCGCGTACGCTGTACACACACTTATACAATGTGGACGTAGACAGTAGACAGTACAGTCGCATACGTGTACTGTACAGTTGTACGCTGACGTCACTGACTGTACTCCTGTATTGTACTATTGTGTATAACTGTACTGCTGTGTCAGTGTGTCAGTGTATATAATAATATAATACATATTATATGATGTGAGAAAATTCGTGCATGAAAACGGTCAGCTAAGGTTAGATCTGAATAGGTATACTCTCTAAAACCTTATTTCCCCGCGCCATAATATATATATTGCTTAGTAAAAAAAAGAGATTGATCGGGTTTTCCATTCGTTATTTTTTACGGAATTTTGTTTTTCCGTAATTAGGTTATAGTTCATAGTGATAAGAGTGTTCTCACACCAACAAAAAATCAACAAATCAACTTAAATTCTAATATCTTTGTGGTCAACACTGCGACGATGACGGCTTTTTATTTGGAGCATTATCTCGACAGTAAGTCAAAAGAAAAAAAAATTAATGCAATGAAATGTAAACAATCCCAGTCTAGTTTGTTTTTCGACACTCACTTCATACACTTGACTCGTCTGTGCTCGAAACCTTGTTTGTAATTTCGTTTTTTGAGTAAAACTATTTGGGTTCTTTATTTATTTACAAGCAGTTTCGGTAATAGAATGCGCGTCATTAGTCCTAACCTCACTGCAACACTTTGCAAATAAGCTTAAATATATATAATACATGTACCTAATCATTTACTATTGTGATAACATTTTTCAATTAATAATTATAATTATCGTGACATAATTATTTCCAAGCATTTTTATGTAAAAATAAAACTCCATCTTTGTATGGATGATTTGCATTCATGTAAGTAAAAGTGAAAAAATAATAACATAATGACCCCGTTTGAAGGTTTGGAACATCTGCCAACAGAATTAAGAAGAAATTTTAACTTGATGAGAGATCTCGATGCCAGAGCACAAGTGTTGATGAGAGAAATCGACAAGTTATCCGATGAGTATCTGGTCAACATGAAAAATGAAACCAAGGAGAACAAGAAAAAGGAGCTTGATAAAATACAAACTTTGTTTAACAAAGCAAAAGAGTATGGTGATGACAAAGTACAGCTGGCCATTCAGACTTATGAACTTGTTGATAAACATATCAGGAGATTGGATTCTGATCTGGCAAGGTTTGAAGCAGAAATTCAAGATAAAGCTATCAACAGTAACAGAGCATTAGAAGACAGTGGATCCAGTAAAAAGGGCCGGAAAAAGCTTAAGGAAAAAGAAAAACGTAAGAAAGGTAGAGTCGTGTTCTACTGTTAATCATAATTTTTGAAAGTTATTGTTGGCAGTTGTTTTTTTTGCAATTAGGCAATCTTATCAATGATTCCATAACTTTTCTGTAGGAACAGCCAGTAGTGAAGATGAGTCCAAAGGATCTAGAAAAAAATTAAAGAAAGGAGGATCCACAGCATCAACAGCAGCTACTAGTGCAACAGGTAGTGGATCTCAAGGAGAATCTAACACACTCAGCCATCCAGCTGATGTTCTGGATATGCCTGTGGATCCTAATGAGCCCACTTACTGTATATGTAACCAAGTGTCGTACGGAGAAATGATTGGTTGTGATAATACTGATGTGAGTCATCACTTATTGAATAACCTTTACAACATATGTTTAAGTAATTAATAATCACTTTTTAATTTTTAAATGTTTTCTTTCAGTGTGGAATAGAATGGTTTCATTTTGCGTGTGTTGGACTAACGACGAAACCAAAAGGAAAGTGGTACTGTCCAAAGTGTATTCAAGATAGGAAAAAAAAATAGTGACTTAAACCATCTTATGTGATTATTGACATTCTCTTCGTTAAGTAATATGGAAAGTGTTAAATTATTGGACTCAACTCAGATAAGCAGAGAACTGACCACTCTCTCTTTTCTTAAGATGATCTCTACTGAGAAAACAAACATTTTTTCATTGTTCACTGTATATTATTGTATAGGATAATTAATGTAAAAACATCTTTTGTTACCTCTTTTTCAAGATGTCATCATCAATTACTTCTAAATAACAAGTACATTATCATTATTACAACTATGATTTAAGTTTTTAAACATTTTATATTTTATCTATTGTATTGTAAGCTGTGATAGTGTTTTAATTTTAAACAACGAATCTATTGATGGTTTCTTTTAAAATATTTCCATCAAAGCAAAAGTTCAAACTAAAACCTATTATAAATAACTATAATCCGGTTATTTAACAAATAAAAATTTATAATGTATAAATATTTGTAAAATTTATAAATACTTATTAGTTTCATGTAATCTAATTCTTCTAAGAGACATAAAAATGATGCTGTTTACTATTTTTACGATTTTTTTCTCTAAAGGCCTGTATATATCCATATATGTATAACATCATGAACTAATCCAACTCTTTTTCATTGAAAAGCTGAAAAAAGATTGTTCAAGTGAATTTTTCATGGGTAGTTTTCATGGTAACAATATTTTAATGAGGATCCAAATTTTGTTAGAAAATAGTTTATTTAAGTATGTTTCTGTACATATTTACCACAATACTGCTCTAAATATATTAACAAATAATTCTTGCTTTTTCAAAGTTTTTTTTAACGTTCTTAAGATGTTGAGTAGAAAAAAAAGCAGAAAATTTGCTAATTACTCGTTCTACCCTAAGAAGTAACACTTATCATAGAAATTAAAAATATTTAAACTTAATATGGCTACATAAAAGTCTGACTCAAAGCCTTGTGAAGTTAAAATGTTTTTTTTTTGAATGATAAATAGAAACTTTTTTCACCGAATGCCTGGTTTCCTCTCACAACATTTACTAGGTGGAACTGTCCAGTTATAATGGTAATGGTAATAATTTTGCACTTCGTGCGAGCAAATGTTACCAGTCCTGGTATATAAATCCTGCAATTTTTTCATCTCCTGTATGCTCTGTTTGTGCGTAACGTAGTACGAATTCAAACAACCTCGAGATCTGTATTCTGTATCAAATCTAATGTCGTGTCTCCTTTCGATGTTAGCTAACGGCGCTAGCCACAATCCAACAGATACATCCTCTGAATTGTACAACCTGTGTAATGACAAAAAAAATGAAAAAAATGTTAGACGAAACATAACAATTTAACTTCCATCTCTTGAAATTTGAGAAAAAGTATATTTACTTTAAAACATCGGCATTCTGAGCAATAAATTTGACGAGATTATAGGATAGGACGTATCCACCACCAAGAGCATAGGGCAAATAGTAATCACACAAAAACCAGTTGATCTCTTTCCAAGGCCCGGTCTTTCGTGCCCTGGCCCTTCCATCAAAGTATCCCCAGTACAGCTCCTTCCTGAGGCCTTTGTTCTGCCATCTGTTAAGATCCTTGAGTATCAAGTCGATCAGTGCAAAAGTGTCATCATCAGTCTTCAACAGAAAGTCAAACTCATAATTCGTAATGACGTGGGCGAAAGACTGGAGGACCTTTTTCGTAATTGTGCCGTAAGCGTCGTACAATTTTGGCAAAAAAATCAGATCCTGGTGCTTCTGATTTTCGGACTCAACGGTCTCGCGTTGCTCGGGCCGCAACTTTGTCGTCCCGATAGGGAATAGGCTCTTCACTTCGAGTGGTCGCGGTGACAGCCACGTCTTGCGTATTACATCCCTACGCTCCGAGTTTTCTGGTGCGCTCAACACAATGACGATTAGCCGGTACTTGGGCTTACTGGCGTCATCCTCGTCACCCGGGCAGCGTCGCGATGCCAGATAATGAACCGATAGAGTCGTCATGCCGATGATCAAAAGTGCGGGTATCATACTTAGCCTTATCTTCGGCATCTTCAAATATTTATCTGTCTGATACAGTATACCTGCACATTTTGTTATTACACTGTTTTTCTTTTGGTTGGGGACAATAAGCCCTCCATGGTGCAGATGCCGGCGACTACCTTATAAGTATACTTATAAGAACAATTATCTCCGCACCTCCGCAGTGCAGATGCATACTTACAGAATCAGACAGGAAGGCTTTTTTGGAGTATATTTACGGTGCAGTGTCAGTGCAATGCGCAAAATCAGCTGCGAGAGGGGTATACAACAGAAGGAGGGATGGCCCTTTTAACACACATGCGATGTCGGCTGCTCCGAAATGTAAATATTTACCTAAATGCTCTTAAATATTTCTAAGAATTTAATTTTATGATATTTCAACTTTGTGTATGAAAAAAAAAAAAAATTATTAACGGTAACGTCTTGTACTGAATCAACGAAATTTTTCATTGTTTTTAATTGCCTTTTATCATTTTTATGGCTATAAATAATAATGTTCCACAGAGTAAAGGGAAAATGTTAAAGAAAATAAATCGGTAACTATAATATTACATTTATTTCACAATATATATATATGTGTGTATGTATATATATGTATATATTTAAAAACATTAAATAAAACAGTACATTTTGAGGCGCATTCTTTGCACATATACTATATAGATTTTTTATAATTATCACAAAATTTAAGGGTTCATTGGACTTTCAGACCAATTGCATTGTTCCCGTAGTTTGCATATAACACTGAGAGGACTTGCAGTTTGAAGTAGATTTTTTAAATCAACTAAAAAGTATAGTACACTTGAGAGGTGTAATAAGTAAAAATGATTTGCATGGCTAAGCAAAGTAAAACACGCCGCTCAGTAAAGTACAAGGGCACATAATTATAAAAAGCTTAAGGTTTGTTGGCTCTTATAAAAGGCACAATAAAAAGTATGAGATGTTTGTACAAATGAAGCTAAGTATAACATATACTTAGCGTATCTCAACCCATGATGTAAGCGATGTCAAATATTGTCCAACAGGTCTTCTTCAATTTTTATCTGCAAAGTAAAAATATTGACAAAATTAAAATAACTTTTATTTGATTTCATTAAATTTTTTCGACTACTTACTTCAGATAAAATTACCCAATTGGCACTTTTGCTATGTACAGTTAGTCGAAGCACAGAAATTTTTCCTAATGTTTTATCCACAGTTCCGTTGGCGATCCCAAAGGAATCGAATTTACCTGAACCAAAGAAAAAAATCATGTAAGTCGAGTAAAATTTGATTAAATTTGTTTCAAATGTATGATAAAATATTCACCCGTAATAATATAACCATCCTCTGTAACATTACTATGATTTTTATCAATATAATTTTTTGCTTGTGGTAAAACTTCAACAGTTGTGTCATAAAACTTATCTGATGGATACTGAGCATTTCCACTCCGAAACAGATATCTGCAAGACGAATAAAGTCGTTAGATATAACAAGTTGAACCTCAAATAGTAATATTCATTATTAATCACCTTTTTATAAAAACAGGATGAATAAATTGAAACCTAAGATAATCTCCTGACTTTGGTGAATAACCCCAAAAAAACGTATCACCTTTGTAAGCCTTGTATAACGTATTATGTTTAACTGGTGTGATTCGAGATTCAACTTTTGCTTCCGGATTTCGATGAGCGTAATAAAGCTGAACCAAGCCAAATTTTTTATCCTACAATTGAAATGAAAGTCGGGCTTATTGCAGTTAAAATCAACACCCATCATGACATGAATTTTTTACCTTCAATTTTTGTACTTTTCCTTTTAGTGAAGAATGAACTCCGACATGTTGAAACAGAGACGATTTGTATTTCAACCATAATCCAGCTTTAGCTTGTTTACAACGTTTCTAAAAACATTTACGTATATTTTAGCAAAAAACGGTAATTTCTGTACAAAAATCAATAACATGCAGAAACCTAAATATTCACTCACATCGTCCATTCCTAGAGCACAAATTTTTGTAGTTATCAAGTGATCCATCAGCCAGTCAACAGGTTTGTCGTTGTAAAATAGTATAAAAAATTGAACTAACCACGGTAAGTCGATTGATTTGAATAACTTTCCTGCAAATTTACTCAATGAATAACTTCAGAAAACATAGAAATCAGGATAATATTGATAATACTTGAGACGATTAGTCTTACCAATAAAACCTAATTCACAAAAATCAAGAACAAGCCAGTTTTGCTTCATACTGACTTTTTGTAAAGCAAAAGATTTCATTGTACTAATAAAATTCTTTTTAGCTCTTATGTCATCTTCTAACTGGATGTAAAATGTTCCTTTCGTCTGAGCATATGACATGAGGAATGCAAAATCTAAATTTTGTTTTGATCTCCACATTACGCGCTGATGATCGTCTCCTAAAGTGTCCCGCAATTTGGAAATATTGGGATAATACGATGGATGAGGCGAAATCACTTCGATAACTCCCGACTCCAACTCATTGGGAAACCTGTAAATGAATTAATGTGATTTTAATGATTTGTTTTTACTAGAGATTAGCATTGTAATTTAATGGTAAAAAATAAATTTATTGCTTATTTGTTGTGGTAATATTTAATAATGTAACATTAATTAAAATACGTACTGTTCTACTATTTTGTTTGACACCCAAGTGATATAATCATTGTCAGTCTAGAATGATGAATAAATATGTTTTTATGTAAAAGCAATAACAAATTTTAGAGATGTATCAGAGACATGCAAGAAACGGAATACTTTTTATGATTAATTAATAAAAGATGTAAAATTTATATATGTACTTATTTATTTTATAAACTTTATAAGCACATCACCGTTGAAGAAGAATTGGACAGGAAATGAAAAAAAAATTTGCTTACTTACCTCAGCAATAAAAACAACAATAAGCGTATCTGCGATCTCAATAGGGTTCATGTTATCCATAAGATCTTTCAAAGTAGATAACAAGTAATTTTGCTTTTCTCTCCTGACATGAGGTACTCCCAGGATCATGCTAATGCCAGACCTGCCTCTACTATGAATAAGATTTGGCCGCAGAGAATTCTGATGGCCTAGCAAATGAGGGAGAAAATTGTAAGCTGTGGGCAGCTTGATGTTGCTGACATTGTAATTGGAATTGTTGAGAAAGATCTGTACATCGGGAAGCATGTGCGCCACATCAGTGAGATGGCCCACCTGATAGGTAAGCAGCTGGATAGCTTCCTGGCAGGATATGTACTTGGCATGTAAGTTATCAAGCTTAACTTGCAGCTCAGCAATGCTGTTCTGCAAGATTAATTCGTCCGAAGCATCCAACGGAGAGTTGAAATAGTTCAACACCAAGCAGGGCACGAGAAGACAGCCCAATATCATTAGCCAACGTTTGTGGCTACCTACTTGCATGGTCGTCGTCGTCATCGACGTCGTCATCGACGTCGAGCCCGACTACATCGTGCTTATCCAAAGTTAGGAAACGCATACCGCTGTTGTAGACCCTGGGAACAACTTCACACTCGTCAGCTCCGTTGGCTAAAAAGATATAATGTACTTCCTTTTTATCGTTATTTGTACGCACATGCAATAATGTTCTAGACAACACTAATATATAGGTCATTAGTTAAAAATTAAACTTTATATGCAAATGAGAAAGAGCAGTAGTAATAATTTTTTCACTTCTCCATTTGAAGCAGTATAGGGCTCAATTCAAAAATTTTTATTTATGAATATATTGAACATACAAGTGATGCGTACATATATTATATAAAGTGTATATAATAAATTAAGTGTGTACACGCACCAGCATCAGCGTTACTGGAATAGAACAATCATGATCAGGATGAATTTCGATCGACGTCATACTCATTGTTATAAATATTGTTTTCTGCATCCAAGCATTCAAGCATACTTGCAACTTTTCTTCTTCAACTCTTTTCTTTCGTCTTCGTTTGGGAAGGATTATGCCTGCACGCACGCATCTATTATTAATCTTTATACTTAATCAATATTGACGCGCGTGTCCACACGCACATATACGTCCTGAATCGTATGTGTATGAATAGTTTTCACTTTGTCGAATACGCGACACCAAACATTTATTAAACAAATCAAGATAAGTATTCACTGTTTAATTAGTGGCTGTCATCTTGGGGGACACCCCCCTCACTGTTACTAATCTTTCGGTTTCTTCTGCTCCGCTCCAAACTCTGAACTCTCCGCGCGCGATCATCATCGTTTCTTATTCCTGACGGTGGTGGGATCATGGGATATAAGTACAGAGTCTCAACTTGAGAGACATGACACCTGACCTCATCCTCCGACTCTCGAGACATTCGTAACGTAGCTGTCAGCTGTTAGCTCTCTCTCACACGAGAACCGGAAAACGAAAAGACTCGGTCATGAATGTCATGATGAGCGGTACACTTTTTATACATAAATTAAACATTATTAGTATAGTACCACCTATCTATTATGGGTACCATAGGTGCAGGTGTACTGCTATCTATTAATAAATGTGGGTCATATATATTTTACTCAAGGGCACTAAACTAACACAAAATCACGTAAATTTTACAGTACTTACATAGTTACACTCTTGTAACACAATGAAAAATAGGAGCATAAAATATTTACTCTGTTATAATATGATTCGATCTTCTGTATCAGTTGAATTATTAAAAATACGTGTACGCATTCATTGTTCAATATATTATTATTTATTTAATTGTTGTTCTAAATAGTACGGTAAAGGCACAGAAGAAAAAAAAAACAATAAAATCGAAACGAATAAAAAAATGTTTATTTTTGCGATAACTAAATAATAATACGTATTGAAATTTTCTAACTACGTAAATGGACAGTTGTAGATGTTATAAACTTATAAACTTTGAGAAAAAAAAAGTCCTGCTGATAAACGTCATTAATTATTCTTTATTATTGACAAAAGACTTTTCTCAAAAGTATTTTTAATACTAAAATAAAAGTATAACAAAATTGCAATATAGTTGTACTAATAAGTTGTTTTTGTTTTATTTTTCTTGGTATGGTGTATAAATTCAACACTGCAATGTTTAAATGAAAAACATAGAAAATACCATAAAAGGACAGCAACATACTGTACTTAACTTATTGCATAAATATTATGTCTAATACATGATCCATGATGTTGCATATTTCTATAGATATTACACAATTGAATACCCTATTTTACTCGCAAAAAAGATGTTGGTCAATTATCTAAAAAAAAAAAAAAAACTCCTACTTAAAACCAAGTGACCATAACCACTGGAAAATGATTTTCAATCCAAGAACCCGTGTAGTGTTTCGGATCGTGGAGGTAAAAGTTGAAGAAAAAGGCCCGCAATAAATATCAAAAACCCACCCAAAATGCAATCGCTCTGTTGCTCCGCGGCAATCACCGACGAGGATCTATCTGAGAAAATCGCCTATCTGAGCGACTCTTGCACCGGCCGGCTCAACGACACCCAGCTGTTCAAGTCGACGAACCACCGAGAACTGCGTCTTCTCGGCGAAATCGTTCGCAGGAGCACCGACGCCCAACTCGCGACCCACGACCCGCACACCCTCGTATCCTGCGCGATAAAACTCCGGCTCAAGTACTTCAGCAGTTCCTTGCACTTCGAAGCCGACCTGTCCGAGCGCAGCCGCGAAAACAAACACCGGCTAGCCGAAAGCTACCTCGAGCACATCCTCCGAGTTCTCCTCATGGCGTCGAGATCCCCGGGTAGCGTCGCCAAGACCGTCGTCGACACCCTAGAGGGAGAGAACTTTTGGGGCGCTCGGCTATTTTGCGTCGGCGTCGTCTGCCAGTTGCTGAGCCTCGAGCCGACCGAAGCGGCCATCCTCTGCCACGAGCTGTGTGACAAAATCGAATTCCCGAACAAGAGCATCGACACGAAGCTGATCGTCCGGGTGCTGTACGAGCTGCTCGACGTCCACCCTTGGCCCGACACCAGCGAGACCACCGCCTTTCTCGAGAGGATTCTTAACCTGTACGACCGGAGCTTGCACGACGGGGAGCCGAAAAACGAGGCCGACGCGTTGTTCCCGAAACTCAGAGGTAGCCTGGAGCTCTGTATCAGGCACGTCGTGAAGAACGTGTCGCGGGCCCACCTGATACTCGTTATCCAGCGTATGACGGGCTGGTCGGTGCGGGCAGGCGTCAACGAGAACGTCATAGCTAACTACGGCAGTGCCCTGGAGTACGTGGCTTCGATGTACCGCGGTTATTACTCCGTGGCCGACACCCTCACCTCGGAGATGATCGCGCTCCTGATGGGGATGATCGCGTCGAGCGAGCGGTGCGTCTCGCTGCTGGGAAATCGCGTGCTGCAGTACATGATCGACAGCGGGGAGAACCGGGTGCTCTTCGGCACCCCGAAGATATTCTTCGAGGGAATGAATGTGAATCTCGCTATCAAGGGCTTTAGAAGGGAGGACGGCAAATTTTTGAAGCTGCACAGAGAATTGACGCACGAGAGTTTGACCAAGAGTTTGATCAATCATCGACAGGACAGGTTGAACTTGGAGACTACCTATTGCACCCTGTGCCTCTTGGCTGCCGAGATACCCTGTGGTTTCACGGCAGCCGTTATGTCGTGTCTCATGATGAATGTCCAAGACATTGTCATGAAAAACCCGGAGTTAATTGGTCAGATGGCTTCCTTCTTTCTTTTCATAATTCTACACACCTCAGTAGTAAAATCATTGTTACTTGAACGGTGCCGTTGTTGCCTTTGTTTTTTCTTCATCAGGTAAAGAAGCCTCGTATCACATCCACGCGATAATAATCTCGGTGTTGTCGTTCGTTTGTTGGATTCACGAGGCCAAAGATTTCCACGCTTACGTTTACAAAATCGTGATGGAACGGGCGCAGTGGGCGCCGCATCTGAATCCGCCGTTGCGCTCGAGTTACAATAACTTTGCGGTGCATCACGTACTTTGGGACAAGCCTGAATTGTTTTTCGTGGACTGGGAAGTGCGATACGGACTGTGGAGGCGATTTCGTTTGAACGGAGCCGATAAGGCCCAAGTGGAGCTTGTCACGAATAAGAATGACAAAGGGGAGTATACCGCATAGAAGAAAATTCTTATTGAACGTTAAGAAGAAGAAATAACTGTACGGACATATCTCTGATCTCTAGTCATATTCAGACAAATTTTTATTTTTCTTGATTCAAACGCTTGACTAGTAAACTAATTTCAAATTTTTTTTTACCGAAATGTAATTACTTTTTTTTTTTACAAACTACACGCGAACTTTGTAAGATTTATCTTCGGCAACCCGATGTATTTCGATGATATTTATATATAACTTTATGTACAAGCCTTGTGAGGAAACTTTTTTCCTACAGAAAGGATTAAAAAATATAACGAGTGGTACGAGTCTATAAATATCCATGTGCATAAAATATCTTATATAGTTACGTTGATTTAAATATTTTACAATCTTGTCAAACACAAAGTTTGAACTGATAACAACATGTTTTTTTTTAGAACCATACGCTTCCTAAATCCTCTTCCGTAGATTGCAGTTCGTTTTTAATAACAGGCTTCTCCTCGTCGCTCTCAGATACAGCCAGGTCTTCCTGGATTCTACTATCTACTTCGTACTGAACTCTACTACTTTCCGTTTCGTATTCTATGGTATTTACGCCATCGATCTGAATTTTGTTCTCCATCACTACTTGAATGTTTTGTCCATCTTTATCTCTGAGAGCATCCAAGAAACCCATTGGATCGTAGTTAGAGTCAACGCTTTCATCTGAAAATGGAAGAAAAAAATGCATTATCAATGAAAAACGGAATGCAAAAAATGAGGCAAGAAATAAGTATGCTTACCATGATGCATTATTGGTTGTTCTCCCAGATAAGACCCGGCATTGCCAAGTTGAATCATTGCCTCAGCGACTTGTTGACTGTCATCATCCGCTGGTAATTCGTCTGGCCGTACCTCCACGGGCACAAGAGGTTTTAGCTCGGTCGCCTCGAACGCATCATCATAAGGCACCTCGTCAAAGTCATCGTCCTCGCTTGAGAATTGTAAATCTAAAAAAAAAACATAATTTAAAACAATTTGTGTATCCGCTACGCATCCAGAGAAAATGACGATTGAAATAAAAATAAACTATATGATACGATCGATGTACCTTCTGCAAGAAGATTTTCTTTTTTCATGGCGGTCGGTTTGCCAAGCTCGGCCTCCACATCATTCTCTACATCGACAAAATCATAATCGTCCATACTTGATTTGCCGAACGCATTCTCTGGCGAGCTGATTTGACTCTGCGAAAAGTAAATTTATCATGTGTGATGGAGATTAGCAAAGTTTTTTTTTTCAATTATTGATCTTACTTCGCGGAATTCCGACTCGTTCATCGGGTAATTTTCTTCTTCGCAACCTTCGCCGATCCATGAAGCGTCCCCATCGATGTCGGCTTGCTCAAAAGCTCGCTGTTGCGTAAGAGCGATCTTCTTTTCAATTTGCGTTAGATGCCCATCACACTGTGATTTGTAAATTTACAAAAAAATCATCATTAAAACTTACTACGTGATTGTATCGAGTAGTTTATTATTTGTAAAACCGATGTTTATCTTACGTCGTTTAAGAATTCTTTGGCAGCTTTGACGAGTACTTCTGCCTTTGAGGTGAAAGGAGATATGTCGCCATTGAAAAGAATGCAATTGTCGAGAATTAGCTGCAGGTCTGCTATGAATTCTGCACGATTGTGGTAATTATTGTCTGAAAAATCAGAAAAATCGATTAATCACACTTTAAAGAGCGTATAACGGTGTTAAGAGATGGTCAAATATTTACTTACCAGTTACATTCTTCGTCATTGTCTCGAGATCCATTGGTCTCTTGACAACAGTATAGTAGTTTTTGATAAGCTTTTTATTTACAGGCTTCAGGAACTGAGAGGCTTCAGCCATGTTCTTGACTTTCTCGAGACAAGAGTTGAGAACAAATGATAACGCGACTTGATCATCGTCGTCAAGCAAAGGATTGATCGCTTTTTCTAGCCGCATTAATCTTTCCTCTTTCGCGGCTATTTGATTCACACAAAAGTCAAGTAATCGCTGGGCTGCTTCGGTATAAGAGTGTTGGGGTCCGTTATACAAACAACTGTTCTCCTTGATCTGGTTAACGTCACCAAGAAAATCAGCGCGACTCTGGTACTTCTTTTGTCGCAGGTTCTCACGAATGGTCTGCAAGTCCATTGGCCTTGAGACGATACGCAAGTAATCTGGCACCGATTTCGAAGAGACAGGATATAAAAAGGGATTAACATCGGGTAAGTCTCGCATTTCGGTGAGTATGTTTTCAAGAATCGTCGAGAAGACGACCAGTGGATCAGCACGTCGTCGATTCACGCCAGCTGGTCTCTGATAACGTTTAGTATAGTCGCACTGATCGTCGCTCGTTGGACGCTTGCGTTTTCTAGATAAGAATGTATCTTTGGACGTTTTAAGTTGAAGCGAGCGACGCTTCAATTCTTCTGCGTGTTGCTGAAAGTTCAAGTATATATATTTATATATATGTATATGTATGTCATCGTTGACTTATTATTTGCACAATAGAATTGAGAACATGAAATTTGTGTAAGTTACAAAGTACCTTTATAAGTTTTGATGACAATTTGACCTTGGTACCATCAATATTGACCAGATCCTGATCCTCGGGTATAAATGGCTTCTCGATTTCCTCATCCTGCTCCTCGCTCGTGGAAACACTCATGGGATTCATGTTGCCGATGCTATTTTGATAAAGCGGACAAGCCTTGTTGGTTCTCATGTGGCCGACGTTACCGCAGGCACCGCACTTAAGCTTCAGATCTGGTTTTAATTTGGATTTTTTGCGTTTAGAGGACGAGGACATGTGATCAGGTTTAGAGATAGGCTTATTAAGATTAGAAGTAGAAGTGGAAGAATTGAATGGTAGTAAGTTGGAGGAGGGAAAATTACTTGTATTGGATAAGCTTCCACCGGGCGCTAGGGAGGAAACGGGCGACGAGGCACCACTTCGGTCGTAAAGATTTTGAGATGGGAACTGATGGCTGCTGCTCTGTGAGTTGCTGTTGTTTAAGTGGCTGGCAGCGCCATTCAGCTGATTGGATCGATGGTCCAGGCCACTCAAACTACCACCCATCATTCGTTCCCGCTCTTGATTTCTCTTGATACGACGCAGTTGTTCCTGAATACGCCGTTTCTCCCGTTTCATTTCTTCCTTTTGAGCGTCATCAGGTGTGACAAACTGCTTGATGAATGAATCGTCTTTTTGGTTACGAATCTTGAGGTAGATGTCAATCACTGCTGGTTTGCGCACGTACTCCACGCGAGTGAACTCTTTGCCATCAGCGTCACGGAAAGTACGATGAATTTTGAGAACTCGGCCCGGCTGTGAATTATAGTTCAAGGTTGAATTTTCATCCTCATCGTCCTTCTTCTTGTCCTTTCCTTTTTTATCGTCATGAGTACCTGTAAAATATGTATATGTTTTTTTTTTTCAAGTTATATAAATTGCATAATGTAAACAATCACCCGTGACTCGTTGAATATTCAACAAACCTGGATTATCGTTCATAAACATTTTCTTTAGCTCCTGCCTTTGTTGCTCTTCTCTTTCAAGGTTCATTTGAGTACTAGTCTTTTTGTTACTCAACATGTTTTCAATATTTTTTCCCATCTCTTCGATGTCAGAGCTGTCTTCTTCCGAGCTCTCACCCTCATCGGTCGATAACACTTCAGCAGAAGCGAGTACTCGATTTTGCAAATCAAAAATACGCTGGCATTCTTCTTTATAGCGTTCTTGATGCTCTGCTATCGAGAAACGATTACCACGAGAGAACTTGGTCATGCCCTCTTCACCCGCCTTGGCTTTTTCCGTTGACAAAGTACGTACTACGTCGATAACTTCCCAACGAGACAATTTTTTTATGTCCTCTTCGGGCACACCAAATTTACGCAACAGAGCCTTGGCGTTATTCAATGAAAGACGGCGTAAATCGGCATCAGTACCCGTAACTGTACGTTTAGGCTGCGCCTCCTGTTCCTCTTTGCTGATAGTTGGTTTATTAGGTACCCTGACGTAAGAGAAGCCCTCACCACATCCCGTAGGATCAGCTGGCCCAGCCAACTGCAAAAGGCACTTGCCTTTCATAGCTTGTATATATGCTCTCGTAGTATTCCAAGGAGCGACCTTGACCTCATCGTCCATCTTTAGTTGCATCTCTTCGTCATCGTCATCTTGTGTAGTGAACAAAGACTTTTCACCGTAACCAGCATCCTTTAATCTCTGCTCTGCTGCAATCATGCTGAAATAGGCACAGCACTGCTCTGGCGATACCATCGCCCGAATCTCTTCTTCCGTGGGAAGGCGAAAGTCTGGTTTAATTACCCACCAGTTTGAGTCCATCCCTAAAATATGAAAATAATAAAAAATTTTTACCCTCAGTTAATGCTTGAAAGCGATATTTATGAGCTCGTATTTACCAGTTCTCTTGAAATCGGCACACAACTTCAAACGTTTTCTGATACTACTTTCGCTGTGCGATGTAAAGGCCTTTTTAATGTCATCCATCTTTATTCTTCTTGGAGTGTCTTTCGATTTCCAAAACAATCTATATATAAAAACTTGAAGAAAGTCTCGCACAAAGTTGTTGGCTCTCTTTGAGTTTGGTCCAGGTACTTCGTATAAAGGACATTCCTGTCCAGCAACGAAAAGAGCATCAACCTCTCTAACGTAATACTGCATTCTATGGGAAATTTAAAAAAAAATAAACGCATTTAATGAAGATCTATTACAATTCAACTATGATTTAAACAAACTTACCTCGACCTAATAACTAAGAAATCTGTTTGGGGTACTTTATGCTCGTAAATCGGTGCTCTGTACATAGTGTTCTCAAGAGTCTGTATACTTTGGCCAGGCGTCAGTATGCCAAGGAAAGGACTAGTGTGAGCATATGCAGTCTCACCATACTTGTATTTCGGTGGACCTTGATCTTTGGCTGCTTTACGCTTATAATAATTTTTCACTTTCGAACACATGCCTACTTGATTCATTAAAGGCGGATGCTCTTCGGAGAATTCAATGAGGACGAGCTCACCGTCTCTGCCAGTTAAATCTTCGGCTGTTCTCATGAAGAAAACGTCACCACCGCCGGAAGCGATTCGCTCTTGTTCCCTCATCTAGAATAGCAGCAAAAATTCGTTGGCACATTAAAATTATATAAATCTAAAACAAGACGCTAAAGAGTCATTTTTTAAAGATGCATTAATTACTTTTGCTTTCTTCTTAATGTGTTTTACTAATGGTAGAACCCCATGAAAACCTGTTGCAGATAGAGTACCATAACTATATTTTTTCAAAGGCGGCCTATGAAAGTTTCGCAGTCGCATCGGTCCCATATGAGTTTGTATGAATGGAGCTCGTAGTTCCACTACAGGAGTACTGTGCTGTATAAGATTGCCACCACTGACTTTTAATTTTAAAGTAGTTTCAGAAGATCTTGGCATATAATACCTAAAATAAGTTGAAAAAAAATTTTTTTAATACTTTTTGATCACTTCAATTATTAACATATAAAAAAAAATTAATTACGTGTCGTTTGAAATGTTAAATGGATCTCTGTCAGGCGACTTGGGTGGCGGAGGCGGAGTATCTTCCTCTAGCACGTTAATGACTCCTGCTTTACCGAGTAGTAACTTACTCTTCTTTACGTGTGGATGAGGTATCTTTACCTTGGGTTGAGGTCCATTATCTTTGTGTAAGAGGGCAGGATCAATATCATCAGGAATGCCAAGGATAATGTTCTCATCATTGGGGTCAAGAGTAAGTATCTTGGGTTTCGGAATTTTTTTCATGTGTTCAGCATCCCAAATAATTTCATCCTCCCATACACCGTAAACAAGCTCTTCGTTTTCTACAGGGAAAATTGAGTACCAAGTATCATCTCGATATTCTGAACGTTGCTGTCCCTTAGCATTCATCCTAAAAAATTTATGATATTTTTTTATAACACAGAATGAAGCATTTTTTTTAATGAAAATAAATTTTCCGTGATAGCTAACATTTTATTTTTCTGAGATTGCATATGCAAAGGTGTAGAGATCTGTGATGTAGCTAGTCTAACATTTGGTGCAACAGGAACAGGTACTCCTTTACCAGGTTGACTGAATGCTTGAGCAGTTCTGTTGTCACTTGATGGTACCCAACCAGCAGCATTATTTTTAGTATTTAATTTGTGTCTAGCTTTATGTTTCATATCATCACCATTCCATATAACATCATCTTCCCAGTGCAATTGTGACACCATAAGAAAGGCATCATCCGAAAAATCTTCTATTTTTGGCTTATCTTCGTCATCCTGAAATACATTACTTATCAGTATAAACATGCCAAGAGCATCAAGTATAATTTGAAATACAATACCTTTTCAGCTAATTTAAATCCATAGTTAAAACCCTCTCCAGTTTCAGGTACTTCAAGAATATCATACCAAATTTGTGCTGGGCCAAACCTCCAATCGGCAACCTTTGGCTCCATATCGCCATTTTCATTATTATCCCCAGATTTACCGATCTCTTCTGTATCTTTGACAGGTTCTAACAATTTTTCCTCATCATCCGGGCAGATCTGATCTTGGGTATAATCGCATCCATAATTCATGAACCATCCCTAAAAATTTCAGTTTGAAAAGAATGTTTGAAACAAAATGACAAAATGTTACAATTTTAACCTTGAATTTTGGTTTTCTATTTTCCTGATCAGATCCCGAATCGGAACTCTTTATGTCCTGAAACCTTTTCTTTTTGCGTCTTTTTTTGACACTTCTCCAAACTTGAGGCAGACTACTAGGCTTGCCAGGGCCAAATAGCTTTGAAAATCTCAACACTTTACCTGGGCGAAAGTCCGGAAACAACTCTGTCACATCAACGTTAGCATATTTCGATGGTAACATTGAAGCAAGTGGAGTTTCGAGTTTTCGTTTGGCTGCCGCCTCAGCCTCCTCAGAAGTAAGGACGTCTTTTTCTTCGGGCACAGGTGGTGGAGGCATCAATTCTTTATCTTGCTTATGCTCCAAATCTTCATCGTCTGCATCATAATCACTTTCTTTTTCATTTTTCATTGAATTTGATGTGTTGTCTGAAAAGGCAATGTAAGAATGAAACAATGCACAGTAGTCAAATAACTCTTCAATTTCTCACGCTCGTGCCTACTCACCTGAAACATCTTCATGGCAATCATCAGCAAGTTCATTGATGTCAGAAAAGTCCTGAGCAGTTGGGCTCTTGGACACATAGTCAGTGTTATCTTCCTCAGGATTATCTCCATTCTCCACTGGTTTTTTTATATTGTTTTCTTCCTCTTCATCCTGCTCGTCTTCCTTCTTGTCATCCTCATTATTTTCTCTTTTTTTCTTCTTGCTGCCAGTTTCTTCGGATATAATGTCATGCAACATCGAGCCAAGCCCAAGCTGACACAGTGATGAGAGATGCCGCTTGGCACCAGGATCGAGTATATCATCCTCAAGTTGGCCATTCTCATCTATGTTTCCAAACATAAAACCGGCTAGGCTCATCTCATTCTCGTACTCACAATCATTATCATCATCAGAGTCCCCCATAATAGAGATCAATCTGATATGCAGAAGTAGTAGCAAAAATCAAATCAATTTCTGGTAATTATTCAACTATTCGTTCCTGATACAAGGTATCTAAGTTTACCGATATGTTGAACATAATTTGCTCAAAATTTATAATTGTTAAATAAACTATTTTTTTTCACAAGTTTGAGGTTAAGCCCACTAAAGGCCCATATCTGTCACTTATGTGGACATCAGACATCATCAGGATATCAGATGTCACAGGTAGTTTTTCTTCTTAACTCCCTCACTATTACTCCTAGATACCTGATATCTATAGAATGTTTTTGTAGTACATTTAGATTGTTTTTTGCTATTGTGTAGCTTACATCTTGTTATGTATTACGCAGGATTTTTACAACGATGTGTACATAAGAAAAGCACTCCTTTAAAAATAAAAGAATGATATTTATGTGCAAACGAGAACCAAATTGTATAAATAAAGTTAAATACTTCAATTATTTTAAGTAAAATACAATAGCGTCGTCACTCGAGAACTTTTACGTTTCTACAGTTTGCCGATCAACTGAGGCTGTATACAGAATATTCAGATTCCCATAGGAGATTAGAGGTATAAGCAGAGAATGTAGAATATACTCTTCTTGCATAGAAAAGCCAGAGGCCAGATCAGCCGTTTTCGCGTCCGCAGTATCAGTATTTTCTCTTTATATTTTAGTTATGCCCCCCACAAGGCAGGTAGCGTTAGTGTCGGGGGGCAACCCGGTAACTTACCCATAGATGCCGATAACTATTACCTTCCGAGCAGCACGATAAAATGCCTATATTCATCAGTATCATATATATTACTGATTTTCGATGCGAAACTACTGGAAACACGTTTAAACTACAATAAATTAATAAAATATCGATAATGAAACCATAACAAAAAGTTGTACATTCAATTTTTTCAACATGCACATCAAAAGCTTATGCAGGGGCCCCTAAGTAAATTTGACAATATCTCCCAATTGATCCGTATACTGGAGCTGTTCACATCGACATTTTTTGCTTATTTCATTGTGAACGTTCATATTGAAAAGGGGGTACCACAGTTCCACTAGACTTAAAGTAAGTGAACAGACTGAACAGACCTATACCTCTTTTTCCATTAGGCAACGAAGCCTATGCGGTCGCAACTATATGTGTTGACTGACAGAGAACCCAGTATAGGTCTGTTCAGTCTGTTCACTCAATTTGAGTTTAGCGGAACAGTGGAACCCCATTTTCAATATGAACGTTCACAATGAAATAAGCAAAAAATGTCTATGGGTGATTTCCGCAATCGTCACCAGCAAGTAATTTAAGTACTTTTAATATCGAAAGATACACTCCCGAGTCCCTAAACTGATAGAAAAAATGATGCGTCATTGGTTTCAACCGCGATTTGATTGGCCGTCGATGTTTGACTTCACGGAAAAGTTCATATACGTCTTGCCTTTTGCCGCATATATAGGTATACTACAGCGTTCTATTAGCATATGGTTAGCGGTTACCTACATTATCAAAAGAAAGCCAACATACCATATTATTTATATATTAGAATTACTTGATTACCGACAACGGTTGGCCACAGCAGCATTGTAAATGCTGAAATGACGCTATAACCGTACCTCTGACCGCGTGGCGGCAATGAGTCCAATAATGCATGAATATCATAGATAAGTTTAGCTCTCGCAAGCGGCGAAAAAAAGGTTTAGTTAGTATAAATAGACGAATCAACTTTTTTTAGACAGAGATGTGTGCTCACTGGCTCTGACTCACCCACGTGTACGGCTCGGTTTGAATAGTTTTCTACTGTTGAAAGATGTGTAGTAGCTCACCGGGACCGTTCTCACACAGGTAAGTGAGGTAAGTAAAAGGTAAGTTGAACGTGGGTTGGCTTGCTGGTGAGTTCATATTTTTTTTTTTTTTTTTTTTTTTTTTTTTTTTTTTTTTTTTTTTTTTTTTTT